AAAAAAAAAAACACCTGGATTCCAGGTTGTCATCGTGACGGTAACAGGCGTTTACGACTATAGAGTTAGGGACACTTGGAAGCCTGGCGCCTTTTGATGGCTCTCGGGTGGATGTTTACTTTGCCGTTGGGAAGGTGCAGGAGGGTTCAGTTCGATAAGGGATTTAGTTGAGGGGCTTCAAAGCAGAGATGGGCAGTAAGAATACACGGCTTGTTTCACTGTTGCAGAAAAACAGCTCTAACAGTGAATTCACTAGGTCAGATCCATCCCTGTTTTCTCTTTTGGAATTCCTGTATTTCCCTCAGTTCATGGAGTGTTCAGAAAAGCATCACCCAGGTAAAGTTAGTCCCAAGTCGTTCTTGCAGAACCTGACGTCCAGCCCAAGGGCAGGGGTTCTCCATGAAACAGACTGGTTTGCATTTCATGGAGAACTGCGGCCCTTATCTGCTCGTGCTGGGTGTGTAGTCACAGTTTGCTTCGTACTGTGACGTAGGAGATTCATGAGAATCTTGGAGATGGCAGTGCCTTGTGGAAGATGCTCTGTAGTGATTAGAGCTACATACTTCACCTGACCGTCAACTGTAAAGGATACGTTCAAGTGAAAATTCTACAAATCTGTAATTAACATAGCTGGTGTTTAGTTGTCGTCTTAGTTTTAATTAACATCAAGCAAGCTTTTCACTGAATATACGGAATTTTTAGAAGTTAATTGTATTGCTTGTTATTGTGAAATATTTTGAGTCTTGATGCTGAAATAAATTAGTATGGTTTACTCAGAATTTTGAATTTCAGTTTAATTTCTGTGCAGTTAAAATCCTACAGCAAATACCTTCTCTATGCTGAGTTACTTGTAAATAATTGTAAATATTTTCCCCATTATATTGCATATAAATCCCTGAGAGTTATTTTAAGTACTTTGAGAGAATGTTTTTTTATTAACCTGTTAACTTTGTGCCAGCTGCTAGGAAAAAAACCCACCTAAATAGTTCTTTTCAAGTAACAGAGGTTGCACTCTGGCAAGTACTATGTTCTGTCTTTGGCAGGTTCTTTTCTTTGGCTTACAGATTTTCATCAAGGGAAGCAGCTTTCTTTTGCTGGAGAAACTAATGGAAGGCCTCTTAGTTAGCTATCACATCTTGTTAGTTTAGACATGGGAATCCCGCTTGAAAAGATTGGGAATTGGATAGTTATTTGCTTTATCCCGAAATCCATCTATGAAGTGATCATGGCAAGTACGGGACGTACATTTAAAAGTTATTTACCGGGGGAGTTAGCTTTGACAAGTTTCATGTAAAGGGGATGCCTGATACTGCATTTTTAATCTTAAAAATGCTGAACCACACACTTAAGACTATAAAGGTGTAGAAGTTACTTAAGTCAAAGGAAAGCATAAAAGTGTTAAGCTACAGATGTGCAGACTTTACTAGATCAAATTTCTTCGTAGCAGTTTATTTCAGGGGAAACATTTGAATGGAAAACGGGTCTGTCTTTTTTTAGCTAGTCATGGTATCCTGCAGGACTTTTTCCTGTTCATCTACCGAAAATACCTTCTGGAAGCCATTTTCTTACAGCTTAAAGTTGAAACATATAATTAGCAGAATCATACCCAGACTTTGGAATAACTTTTACCTATTATCCCAGAAATACAATTTAAAAAGTATAACTTAAAATACATTATCATATTTTTTACCTGAAAGTGTTATCATTGCATATTCTTCTTCTTGCAGCACCTGCCAGTGTTCGTTTTGTCCATAATGATGTCGTGGTACCTGACTTCTCTGCCTATCGTCGTCAAGATGTGCTGGATGCCACCACATCTTCTCAAAGAAGCAGTGAAGCTAGAAAAGGGTTTTCCTACCTGGTGACTGCAACAACATGTGTAGCAACTGCATATGCTGCTAAGAATGTTGTCACCCAGTTTATTTCCAGCCTGAGTGCCTCTGCTGATGTGCTAGCCTTGTCAAAGATTGAAATCAAGTTATCTGACATTCCAGAAGGCAAGAACATGGCTTTCAAGTGGAGAGGGAAGCCCCTTTTTGTGCGTCACAGAACCCAGGCAGAGATTAATCAGGAAGCTGAAGTTGATGTGTCTAAACTGAGAGATCCACAGCATGACTTAGACAGAGTAAAGAAACCAGAATGGGTCATACTAGTAGGCGTCTGCACTCATCTCGGTTGTGTACCGATTGCCAACTCCGGAGATTATGGTGGTTATTACTGCCCTTGCCATGGGTCCCATTATGATGCCTCTGGCAGAATCAGGAAAGGTCCCGCTCCCTATAACCTTGAGGTTCCAACTTACCAGTTTCTTGGTGATGATTTAGTGGTGGTTGGCTGAGTAACGAAGTTCTTGCTCACTTTCATGTTCCTGTGAATGTACAACACAAAAGGGTTAATGGAGATTCTGGAGTACTGTAAAACCAGATGATCCTGAAAACATTAGCTGTCTAGATTCTTAAGCAGAAGTATGTTCGAATACTTCCCTGTGTTCAATTTTAATAAAAACTTGGAGTGAGCACTTGTTCCTGACTCCCATAGTGTGTATTTATTTGTGTACAGACTTGTAGCGTGTCTAGTCAAAGAGGTTCTACAGTAGACCCAGAACATGTTTATGGAGCCTTCCTGAAGGGCTGCTGATTCAAGGTAGACACTGAACTACAAAGCCATTGTTTCCTTAATACGCTGGGGTTTTTTTGTTGGTTGGTTTTGGTTTTTTTAAACTGCATTATGGGAAGAAAAAAGATCTAAGAAAGGTCTCACTATGAACGTCTGACAGTTTTTGGAGTAAGTTTCAATGTAGAATCCTATGAGATGTAATCTTGTTCCTTCCAGTGTATATCTTTTGTTTTCAGAGGAAGTGAAGGAAAAAGTAAATAAAAACCTACCTAGAAAGAAAACTTCTTTACACTGTTCAGAGGCAGCTTGTAATTGTTTACCTAGGATGGTAACATTGTGATTTTATGATGATGTGGACAAAAAAAAAGCATGTCATGTTAGAATTACAAAGTTTTTTTTTTACTTGCAGATAAGGCTTGATCTTACACATATCTAAAGATCAGATCAGGTGCTTAGGGCGTTGGAAAATTTGTGACACTTTTCCAGAAGAATTAAGTTGAGAAGGAAGTAAAAAGGGAAATCCAGGTTTTACAGAGGGTGAAAAATAAATCCTAAGCACCACTCAGTCTGGACTAATCTCTAATGTTAGACCTAGCAAAAGGTTGCATTCCCATCTTTTAAGACTCGATGATGTGTGTGAAAATTATCATTTCATATTGCTTGCAGGCTAAGCTCAATAAAGACCAAAACTTTGAAACCTTGCTTACCTTGATACTGACTTTGAGGCATGGAGAAACAAATGTGACCTGAAATAGAGCCTTTAACCAGTATTGGCCCTGCCAGTACAAAACAGAGCTAGCAATTCATTGCCTACAGTACATGAAGAGAAACAAGGTTTGCGGTTTCCACCCTCCCACGCTATCTTGGCAGTCCTGTTTTCTTCCTGTTCTTTACTGCTGTTCTGTGAACGCTTCTGTCTTGCACTATATTACTGTGCACCAGTTGCAAAACAGAAAATAAAATCTTCAGAATTTCCTGAATCTAGAATGTTTAGCCTCACATCTGTAAAGCTGTGATGACAGCTGGGTTAAAGCTGAAGTTTTAAATAAGATTAAGCAGAATATTAATGCATATAGCTCACCTGTTCTCAGACAATTCAGTGAAAAAAATACCATAGATGACTACTACAGAAGTTCTTAGGTATGTGTTTTACACCATTGTCAGAAATTCAAGCTTTACACCTTATCACACTATGTCCACAGAAACACTCAAGAACTTTTTTTGGTATAATGAATCGTGCTAAACCAGTAGTGAAAGAGATGTTGCCAAACTTGTATCTAAATAATTGGTGTTCATGTATGTGCCTTGTGTTACAGGGCTGATCTTTCCTCAAATCTTGTACTCAAGAAAAGCAGCTTAGTAACTCCTGAAGTAGCATTAGAGCATTGCTCGTCTGCTCTCAAGTCCTCTTACCTCACCCAAAATAGCCCGCAGGTTACATTAGTTAGTCCTAACCTTTGTTTACACAATCACTAAGTAACTGTGGTACCAGTAAATCTGCTCACTGTAAAGCAAGGAATGGCCAGGGCAGTTTCTGAGTTGACAAATGAACACAGTGAAAGCTGAAGTAGTTACGTCACAGCTGGGCTTAAAGGGTTCTGCATAAGATTCCTTGCACAGAATGTTACCTAAATGACACCAAACTGACTCAATCAAATCTTACCCGTCTACAACTAGTGCAGCACTGTGACACTGAATGCATTTGAGAACAAACCAGCAGCTTTTACTGTAAACATGAGATGCCAGCAATGCCTTTTTTCAGCAGGCTCATGACATACCAGTTGAAGCTGAAGGATTGACTCTTAGGCAATGCAGATGCGATAGTCTCCATCCTTTCTTCAGTTAAAGGCTTTGTACTTTTGAGGCAAAAAAAAAATCATTCATAATGGGCCAAGCATGCCTTAGAAAATAATCAGGATTTACTAGAATTTGAGAAATAAAGTTAACAGCCTCAAATCTCCAAAACCACTCACGTAAAAGAAAAAAAAAAAACAACATGAAATTTCATCTGAACACATTAAAATACTTTACTGTGAAGGCTGTCAAAACACTGGAATAAGTTGCTTGGAAAGATGGTGGAGTATCCATGGAGATACTCAAATCCAACTGGACAGTCCTGAGCAACCTTGCTTAAGCAGGAGGGTTGGACTAGATCATCCCAAGAGGTCCCTTCCAACCTCAGCAACACTGTGATTTGCAAGGAATAATGTCCAATTGTTGTATTGTCTTGTCTGGGGCAAGAAACTCCAGAAGGCTGAACTCCCTCTGGGGAAAGCATGACTCAAGCAAGGATAAACCTCCAGGCAGTGATGTGCTGGTTGCCAGTAATGAGCTCTTAATTACCTTGAGGGCTAAGATGTCCTTGGAAGGAGCTCTCAGTGCTGCCACTAATTACAGACATTACCACCATCCAGTACCAATGGGTAATGTTACCCTTGTCATGGCTGGCATACCCTGTGGCACTAGAAGTAGAAGTGTTCAAGTACACAGAAAAATACCGCTATATTTTATTAAATTCTGAGGATTCACTGTATTCCCAAGAAGCAATCACTCGCCGGGCTTGACTACATCTGTGTATTTCCACTGACCCCCTGCACTTCACTAATGGCCTTACCAGGGCTCTATTCCTGGCATCAGATCCTTTTCACTCAAAACAAAAAACAAACTTGGAGATTTCACAAAGCTAACAGGGCACCTTTCCCCTCCAAAAACGTACGAAGCCCTCTATTTCTCTAGACAACTGAGGTTTCCTCATATTTGTATAAGACAACTCTGTGGTCCATATGTGTTTTTTTTTTTCCACACTTCTCCCTGCGCCTCGTACTGTCGGCCATACGATCAGCCTGCTGTAGCCAGCAGGCACTTGCTGCTGTTGACTTGGCGGGTGGCAGGAGCTAAAAGGACAGTTTGATACTGGTGTAGGTTTGCCAGGTTGATCAGTGTTGGGGCCTGACATTTTTCAGCAGTGAAGCTATAAAGCACAAGCCTATGGCAGAGGAGCTGCCTTGCCCACCTTTCATCTGCGTGCCTCCTGGATACCAGGGAGCAGCCACCTATCTGTTTCTTCTCACCTAGCTGCTTTCTCTCCTTTAGAACAAAACAGTCTTCATGAAGTTGCTGAATGAAGTTCATGTTTATTTAATAAAGAGCTCTTCACATAAGAGGAATAAAGATACTAAAATCAAAACATAACTTTTAATATTTGAAATTTCAAAAGCTTTGTGTTTCCTTTTCTATATCTTTAAAAGAGGGGCAATATCTTTAATGGTTACTGCTGTCAAAGGAATAATTAGTGCAGAGACTCTAAATGAAAATTCAGAATATTTCACAGCTAATAGCGTGGGGTTTTAACCCTTCTGATCTGTTAGGTCTGCTTGTCAGAACTGAAGACAGTTTCCCACACAGCCTCTGTATAGTCATTAACAGATGTTCATGCAAGCCAAACGAGGCAGTGTTCTCAAAGGCCGTGTTGTGCAGCAGCACAGTTACCCAGGACACTATTGCCACTGGCCACCAACAAACTCTACATGAAGAAGAAACTCCATGAAGAGGGTTCCTAAGCAGCTCAGGTATATCTGAGGAACACAGCAGTCCCCCGGTTGAAGCAGCGTTCAGTGTCCGAGCAGTGCATTTCTCATCAGTAGAAGCAACAAGCGACAGAACAATAACAGTACTTCTCCAACCTTGAAAAAGGAAAAAGTAAAGAATTTCTAGACGGAAGAAGAGCGTTTAAAGCTACTGAAGGTTGGATGTCCTCCATGGGTAAGATTTTCTCAGCTGCCTACAGATGATGTTTATTTTATGTGTTAATGGCTTTTATCTTCTGCAGAGCTGTTCATTATTCAAATGATTCACATTCTAAGACAATTTTTTGTTATTTATAGTGTTGGGAAGCTCTGTCTGCGATCTGTATTAACTGTGCCAGATTTCCTGCTTTCAAGTAATTTCTTTTCCTTACGTTTCACTAATAGTTTTGAAGAGATGGCTAAATGAAAAGTACATTTCATGTTAATAATGCAGGTGATCCTGTCTCTGAAGAACTTTAGCGCTTCATGCCCATTAAAGTCTTGCAGTTTTGCTGACCAGTATATGTTTTGCAATCACCATGAAAATCCAAATTTTCTCTCATCATAACCATTTAAAAGTATGCCATTTACACAGGCTCAGATCAAAAGTATCTATTAATCTGTGGGCCTGCTTTGATACCGGTAAAATCTAGAGGTGTACAGGGTGGTTTAGCACCCAACATATCCAGAATAGAGTTCCCACTGATTCTGCTACCATTAAAAGTACTTGACAGTCCTGAAAATCATGATCTTAAGTTAAAAGTCTAGAAGAGGAGAAACGCGATGACCATCTGCAAACAGCTAGAGGAACTGCAACATCACACAGGAAAACAACCAGGGATACACCTCACGCCTCTGAAGTGTCATTCCAGAGCACCCTCCCTGTCTTTTCCTGCAAGGTGGGAATTCACCCCTATGCAACTAGAGCAGCAAACGAAGAGGGAACAGCTTCCAAGAATTAGTTGTCCAAAAAACCACCAGTTAGTTGCAAATCTAAAATGCCACACTTGACAAGCCACGCTTGACAAATTATTTAGCATAATTATGGCATTTTAAAAACTACTGTAACAATATCAATTATAACAGCCTTTATTCTTGCAGAAGATACTTGTGTTTGTTTTTTTTTTTAAAGAAAAACAGGAGCTTTTTTGCACTAAAAGCAGAAAAAGAACATATCTCTGTAATTAGAAGGCTTTATCATAACATGGGCACAAAATAATGGTATGTAAAGCGTACAAGGAAATATTGACCTCAACATTTCAAAACTTGTAGATCTCAGTTATGATTTCAACATTTCAAATGATACCATTGCATTGTACTTCTAACTGGCAGCTATATTTA